AGAATGAATTCCAGAGAAAACTCTGGATGCTACGACAGTTAACGATAGCAGATAAGTAGTAAAGCACTTCGCTCTGACGACGTTCGGTCTTTGTTGCCCTCTTCGAATAGTACGGTGTGCAAGTCATCGGACCAGGTGCCATGATGTATTGGAAGAACGACATCTCGTCAAACTCTGTTGTTGATGGTGAGGATGTGTAAACTTCGTAGTTGTTCACAGCATCAAAACAAACTTGTGAGGCCGGAGTACACCCGACGCTCAACAAGACTGGACCTGACCGTGGCGTGACGATTTGCGCACCTCAGCGACCTATTGGGCTGTACTGGGGTGTCCCCGCGACAGTCTTATACCAGGCTGGTCAATGGTTGGAGGTATCCTCCAGTTCGGGGGTTGGAACATGTGGCGACTACTACCGCCAAGCACTGCTACCTTGCGGTTAGGCTTTTGAGCCAAAGGCTTTGGTGGGCGCCCTGACAATATCCAAGCCTACGTCAAACACTAAACTCGGCCTATTGGCCGTCACCTGGTGCCATCAGTCGGGTCGCCTTACTCGCCTAATACAGCAGGGCGAGCGAAGACAGACAGGCTACTTCTGACGCTTTCCTTCCTCACCCTTTCCTTAACCCATCATTAACTCTCTCCTCGAAGGCCCAGCACTTAGGACTGATGACTCCGTTCGTCTTGCATTGGTTTTGCGTGCAACATCTGCTCGTCACATGGCGCCGACATCCCCAGGTATCTCAACATCAATCTCCAAGCCTCGACTCTCAATCTATCTAACCGCTTTCCATGTCCACACTCTGAAGCAAACAGGTCAACAAGCTGCTCTTGCCCTCACACTATACAACTTGGTATTGATGCGTGCTTGTATCAGAAACAAGAATTCAACATGCAAGCACAGTGGTTGAGCTAACCGCCCCATCAATCTTCACTCGCTTCGGTTACGCACCTCTGGTGATCCAGAGGCTGCCGCGACAGGATTTGCAGAGGTTGGTATCGCCCCAAGTCACTGGGCGGAAGAATCCTTGCTTGAATGAACACAATTTGATATTCGCCTGGTAAAGTCTGTGGAGGAGTCTCAAGCGGGGAGTTGATCGATACCTGTTCATCGCGTCTACTACGCCCCAACCGACTGCAGCTTCGACGCGGTCAAAGACAGGTTTTATGACACCCTGGATGTCTTGCTGCGGGGAGCTAAAAGCACAGATATCGCGGTGGTTGCCACAGATATGAGATTCTGAGACTCAATTAAGAAGTCCACATGGAATGGATTCGGTACGTATGAACGGTGAACAACTGCTTCAGCGATCCTCCAGTTCGGGGGTTGGAACATGTGGCGACTACTACCGCCAAGCACTGCTACCTTGCGGTTAGGCTTTTGAGCCAAAGGCTTTGGTGGGCGCCCTGACAATATCCAAGCCTACGTCAAACACTAAACTCGGCCTATTGGCCGTCACCTGGTGCCATCAGTCGGGTCGCCTTACTCGCCTAATACAGCAGGGCGCTCAAGCGAAGACAGGCTACTTCTGACGCTTTCCTTCCTCACCCTTTCCTTAACCCATCATTAACTCTCTCCTCGAAGGCCCAGCACTTAGGACTGATGACTCCGTTCGTCTTGCATTGGTTTTGCGTGCAACATCTGCTCGTCACATGGCGCCGACATCCCCAGGTATCTCAACATCAATCTCCAAGCCTCGACTCTCAATCTATCTAACCGCTTTCCATGTCCACACTCTGAAGCAAACAGGTCAACAAGCTGCTCTTGCCCTCACACTATACAACTTGGTATTGATGCGTGCTTGTATCAGAAACAAGAATTCAACATGCAAGCACAGTGGTTGAGCTAACCGCCCCATCAATCTTCACTCGCTTCGGTTACGCACCTCTGGTGATCCAGAGGCTGCCGCGACAGGATTTGCAGAGGTTGGTATCGCCCCAAGTCACTGGGCGGAAGAATCCTTGCTTGAATGAACACAATTTGATATTCGCCTGGTAAAGTCTGTGGAGGAGTCTCAAGCGGGGAGTCGATCGATACCTGTTCATCGCGTCTACTACGCCCCAACCGACTGCAGCTTCGACGCGGTCAAAGACAGGTTTTATGACACCCTGGATGTCTTGCTGCGGGGAGCTAAAAGCACAGATATCGCGGTGGTTGCCACAGATATGAGATTCTGAGACTCAATTAAGAAGTCCACATGGAATGGATTCGGTACGTATGAACGGTGAACAACTGCTTCAGCTGTACGCTGATCGCAGGCTGTTTTTATGCATTACTAACCTTCGAAGTGGCAGAAGTCTGGTCATATGGTGTTCTTCAACGGCACGCCGGTTACAGACTTAAATAGACCACATTGTTATCAGTTACCGATGGCGCGGATCAACAACTGACCGCCGGGCGTTTTGGAACACATTTGCGGATTCCGACCATGCGCTCGTCTCTTACTTATCCATGGCCTCGAAAGGTTTGCAAAATCGCTTGGCAACTGGCAGACGCTTATGTTAGACAAACTTACCAGAATCATCTTTTAACCTCTTCCGAATGTTCTATCAGATGTGAACTCATAGTGGGACGAGATTGCTACCTGTTTGTATAGTGCTGGGGATTCCTGTGGCACTGCACACCAGGCGCACACAAGCACTGGATATCAGACCGAACGGTGGCACAGCTCAAGTCTCGAAGAAATGTTCCAGCCGGTCCTGAAGATAACTTGACACGCCGAATTAGCAGACGTCAAGTGAAAGTGAGCGTGCAACCGTGAAGTACGGTGGATACAAAAAGCCAAGAAAATGGATGAGGCCCAAAGGATGCCCGAAGATTATTCAAGTTGCAACCGGACCCTGGGAACCACCGATGAGCGAAATCATTAAGGATAAGAAGCGAGTGACCATCTTGAATAAAGAACGCCTTGACCGTTGGGCCAATACTTCGAACGATATTCTTTACCACCAGGTGCCACCCGTCTGGAGCCCAAAGTTGGCGTAGAACCCTGGACTGTGAACTTGGAGCCACCAAGGGCCTCGGAGGTTATGATTGCACATGCTCTCTCAAGTACTACAGAACTTGTGATCCAGATGACCTCCCACAATCATTGTTCAAAGATGGGAGTGAAATCCTTATTCAGCGCTTGTCTGATCTGTTTGCTTGTATGTGAAAAAAGGAGTCTGCGAGTGCCCATTTTTAAAAAAAGGGCTCGTAGTGTGTGTGGCAACCACAGGGGAGTCAGCTTGACCCCGGTCGTAACGAGACTGCTGTCGTCACTGGTGCTTCGTCGCACGGTGGCTCGTGAAACTTACTCGAGGGCGGTAAGTAGGATTCCGGCCTGGTAGGGATCGTGTCGACCAAATCTTCACTCCCTCAGGTGCTAGAGCGCCACACGTATGGGTGATCCACAATCTTCGTATTCCTGAATTTCCAAGGCGCATTCGAGTCGGTTGATCGGTCTGTTATCCGTAACACGTCTGCTTACCAAGGAATGCTCCGGAATTTCCTGAACATAGTGAGCTCTTTGTATTTTCAGACTTCCGGACGTGAGTTTGCGGAAAGCTCTCCAAAAGCTTCCGTACACAAAGTGGTGTCCGTCGGGATTGCCCACTCTCCATTCCTATCCATCTTCGTGATCGTGGAAACCACGAGACGAACGCTGGAAGGTCTCCAAAACCCAGGCATTCTAATAGCCTGTGATGGAAACTTTTTCAATCTGGAGTATGCAAACAACATCGTTCTCGTCTTCGAAGAGAAGTCGCAGGTGTTTTTGGATGAACTGACCAAAGCTATCTCGTCCTTTTGTATAGACTTTGCACCTAAAAATTCATGCTTCTGAACATGCACTTAGAATCCAGGGAGGGGTACTGGGACTTGTGGAGCGTTTCACGTATCTTAGAGTTTGTATTGGTTCAGACTGGTGATGGATGTGGTCATTGCACGAATCCACAGGGCCCGAGTCACGTTTACTAATTTGAGACACCTATGGCGTGGTGTCCCTGAATCTCAAGGGACGTATGTACCAGGATACAATGTGGGCTGTTTTGTTGTATGGCTGTGGGACTTTGTGCGAACGTTCGATCAACTCCCAAAATCAGTTAAGCTGGAGGGAGTCTACGACTGCTGTTTAGGCCTTCACATGGATGAAGGCCAAATGAATGTTAGCAGCATTCCTCAAGATAACCAATTTTGAATACGTCGCACGCAGGCTGCGTGGGTATATGCCAAAAATTATCCCAGGCACGGTTTCAGAAGAGTTAACACTGAATATAGTCAGGGCATAGTGGATAACACCCGCACATGTTGAGTCGATTCGGGTACTTTCTCCATCAACATACTACTAAATGACCTAAAACCTTACCCTTAGTGTGCCGTACACTTGATGTTTCACTGTGGAAAACGCAAAACACCTCTTCTACCTGAGCACGCGCAGTGGAAACGTGCATTACGAAACACAGCTCCACAATACTTTGTCGGACGACTGACAACGATCACACTGCTTAATTTAAAGGGCCCGGAGTGTGCAAGAATCGCAACGGGATGCTGCCATCCACATTAAAGACCCACGGCATACAACGACTTTATGCTGGTTGACTGCGTTCCTGGTCTCGCCAATGTATTGATGATTGACAATAAAAAGGCCACCAATGAACCTCCGAATACGCCGGCAAAGCACCACCCAACACAGGAACAAAACGAATGTGTTGCACCGCAGTGACGATTACCAAAAATTACAGAAATGTAATATCTCTGAGGAGTATGTGGGGGTTAATGGTATGTCAAGCCGTAATATCCTTCGGCACTTCGTTGCTATGCCACAGGAAGGAAACACAAGGGCTGAGATTGTCAGGCCTCCCAAACCAAGATAACAGTACCTATTTGGTTAATCGCATTACGTATATACTTCAAAAAAGACGGGCTTCAGCTTGTCCTATGACCCCAAAAGAGTGTGATGTTTTTCCCCAGTAAAATGCAAGACATAGACAGATTTACGTCACTAAATAAACGTGACTCACCTTGAGGAAGCAATACGTGCCGGACTGCTTTATCGATATAGTAGTTTACGGGGTCACCTGAATGAATCATGAGGCCATCTGAGAACTTCATCGACTTGGCTCGTTGCCCTTTGATTTTGCCTGAGACAATCACTTCGGCCCCACGAGCTCCAGATTCCATTATGAAGCGAAGAATACCATAGCAGGCTCTGCAGTTTGATGGGGCTAAACGAAGACACTTACTTGCGAACGGGTAAGCCATAGGTGAGCTTGTATCGCAGGGACTCTGCCTGCGCAATGGCGCTGAGACCACGAAATGTCATCTTCTCGGCACATAGTTCGAGTGTTCCTTCTGCAAACCCAAACCGTTTCTCAAGAACAGATGTAAGCTCGCGAATCCTTCTACATCCTTCACCGAGAACACTCTGTGTCTTGGTGGCAAGAATAATGACTTCGGTGTACTTGCGGCTTTCGCGCACCTGCACACCACTGTACCCATCTTCGGCCAATTCTCGCTTCAGGAACTCATCTAGTTCAGCTTTGAAAACACCGGCTTTTATGAACTAATGTAAGAATCATAAAATTCGTGGATAAAACCGAAAATTTTAATGCAGACAGACCTTCCGCTTCAGCGACATCTTCGCCGGAGCCGCCATCCTGAGTGAACGTGATGCAAGTGACCGCAGCGCGCCTTGACCCCCGTGGCGTATTAAAACAACTTATCGATTCAAGGTGTACACTATGCATACTAGGCATACACGCTGTTATCCATTTTAAGATTCACCAATGACAGCCATCAGGCATCACGTCTAGACACAGATTCACATGGTGGCTGAAGAGGATAGAATTTTTGGGCCCCGACAACTTGTGAGGTTGGTTAGAAAAAGATTAGTGGAGGTGGAAATTGAGAATCCGTATTGGGAAGAGTCTATGAAAGCATGAGGGATATGCACTACTGTCCTGAAGTGGACGTGGGACCAGGCCTACTGCACATTTCATTTTCATTTTTCATGCTAGTCTGCTGGCTCTGTTTTTTGTATATATTTATATTTGCCTTTACATATCCCCGTCCTTCGCCTACATATTACCAAGATACTCGAGTAAAGTTTTTTGCACACAAAGCTCCAGAATAAATTTTAGCACCACTATCCATAGGTATCCTACTGCCCTCTTATGATGTTTGCTACAATAATCAAAGCCTGTTAGAGGGAAGGTCAACATTCTTTAGTTGAGGGATGGTGCGCTGAAGACGGTCCACTGATATGTAGGATCAGATGTTGCAGGTGAAACTTTGTCGTAGAGGAAGTGTCATTACTTGTGATGAATCTTGTTCGGTTGTAAAAACGCGTACTTGCTTTGTCGTAGAGGAAGTGTCATTACTTGTGATGAATCATCGTCAGCTGTAAAAACCGCGTACTTGCCGTGCAGCGGTTCTAGCTGTCAAGGTTTCGCTCACCGATGACTCGGGGAGGCTAGCAGATAGATGCATATTGGAGGCAGTGGCCTATATATCTGGTGCACTCATACAGGAAGGGAGAGTAGACTTTCGTTTAGGAGATCAGGAGAGGAGTCATACACCGCAGGTAGCAGCTTGTGGGCTCGAGGCGCGACTACTCTATGATCGACAGTGTCTCAACCCATCGATGTGTTCCAATTCGGGGCCCCCATCCATGTAGACGACTGAAAAACGCAGCCAACAACAGGAAACTGTATATAGGTCCAATAATCATGAGATTTCTAAGCTCGGGATGAGGACACTAAGGATAGAAAGGTGATAAAAAGGTGCTGCTGGACATGAGGAAAACATTGGAAGCACGCATCCAAAATTTCGTCTTGTTAAGTAGCAAATCAACGAGGGCCATGACCTGCAGAATAACATTTTGTGGTTGATTACGTCTGACTGATCCATGATTCGCTCAGAAATCTAGTATAGGCATGAATGACACGAGGCCGACTGGTCGTGATATGCGTTGTTGATGCAAGCGCATATCAGTAAAAGGCCTTCCGATAAAGCAGCTTGCCGACCTACATAGAGGGAAAGCGGACTGGATTCGGTGAATGGAAGGCAAGCTAAGTTCATGAGTTACACTAGAAGGAGTATGGCTGTGGAGTCACATACTTAGTTAGAAAATCACTTCAACACTACAAGACAAAGGGCGTTCAGACTTTTAAAGCACGCTCGTATTGTGGGCCGATGATTACCGCGAAAGTTGGATGTCTTCACCATCCACGAGGAGGGTACCGATGTTGAGTGTGATCTACAGGCTTTTTGAAACCCAGGGTCCCCTGGTATTTTGCGCTGAGTTACTAATGTGTAGTAGTTTTCCACCCACTATATTCGTCTTTGATTTTATAACAAAAATAATGCTTAGTTTAGTGGCATACCGTCAGACATGCTCATACGTTCGCAGTCAGAATGGAGAGCAGCTGGGGGATTTGCGGGTGTTGAGGAGTTCTCGAAAAAGTGTCATAAACAATCGGCAATATCCTTTGTAGACTTTGCCATGCCTAAACCGGCATGGGAAAGGAGACAGTTACCAAAAGCTTATCTTACTTTTGGGGAACACATCAAGCAGAGGAGGATACCATTAGCCGCACAATGCTCTTGGCTGCAAAACTTTTACGAGTAGAGTAGAACGTTTTGCGCCAAAATGTTGCGTTTTGTTGCGCATGTGCTCAAACCAAAAACATTTGGATCTACGTTCATATTTTTGCAGCTCACTAAATTTTATTGCCCACTGGAGCAATCATACCTCTGGGGGGAAAGTCTGTTGGAATAATTCCCAAGAATGGTTGAGACCCCGAGTCGCCTAAATGGGGCTCAAGGATTTTGACTGGTACTCTCAACTCAATAGCCCAACTACTTTAGCCTATCAGGGACACGTAATAGTCCTCGAAAGTTCCATTCCATTGTGCGAATACGGCGCTGAGACACGATAAGAACATTGTAGCGTGGGACATCAAGAAGTCAGCGGTATTCGACGTTCGAGAAGATGCAGCGACGGCACACGTCGGTTCTGAAATGTGAAGATACATATATTGGTATTACTGAATTCACACGGTGCACAATCGCACAGGTCGGGCGACACAGGAGAGAAGACTGGAGCGTGGCAATAACACGTGTATTCAACCGAAACTAAAAGCGGAATTCGGGGGTACAAAGGTAGGTCAAGGTCAATCAGGAAGGTGGACAAGCAGGCTACTCCTTCATGTCGGGGGCTCATCCGTGGCACTTGCAATAGGGAGAGAGAGAGGGAGGGGCACATATTGTCACATGATGAACGTGCAAGCAGATGCAGTCGAGTTTCAACTGAGTTACACCATTAATGTTTGAAGGTGACGGGCAAAAGCCGAGCGAAAGAGGGCGAAAAAGGGGCATCCCGCTTAACGCATGATGAGAAAAATTTTGAGTTCGAAAAATCATGAACCAGAACAATGAACCTGGTGCGGAGCTGGATTGATATGGTCTGATCGGCCAATCTGAACTGAAGTCTAAAGCCACCGATGGGGCGAGCTCAGTATGCGCACAATGGAATTGAATTTTCGAAAGTTATGACCTGTCATTTATAGACAAAAGTAATCCGGCAATTGAGTTGAGAGTACCGCTCAGGACTTTCACGCCCCATTTAGGCCTCCCGGGGTCTCAACGATGCTGCGGAATTATTCCACAAAACTTTTCAGCTAGAAGCACAGTTGCTTCAGGGAACTATCAAACTTGATCAGCCGCAAAAATATGAATGTAGATAAGGACGGTTTTTTTTCTGAGCACATATGCAACAGAATGCAATATTTTGGAGCAAAAAATTTCACTCACACGTAAAGATTTTGCAGCTGAGAGCATTGTGTGGATAATGGGCATCCGATGGGGTCTATTCGGCCTTGGTCCGTTGGGCTTATGGCTAGGGTCATAAAAGGCGAAAGTAGGGACGATGAGGCGGAGGAATCAGTATTACGAATAAATCGTAGCTTTTGATCGCCGTAGACAACTTTCCGACCTCTTCCAGCTGCTTGTTTGCCGTCAAAAAATCCACCGGACATACGGATAGCGTACCGTATACACTACTGCTGAGGCAATTAGCAGCTTATGGTTCGGTAGCCAAACCCCGCTCCCTTGTCGACGGAAGGTCTGTATTGCTACGGGAAATATAGAACTACTTCGTAGTGCTCATTTATCCTATCCAATACTGGAAGAACGCTCAGGAAAGTTCATGGAACGCTTGAGAATACTAACGTTTCAAAAACGTGTTGCTCGTGAGCTGTTTACTTTCGTGTTTGGTAGCTTGTAACTGCTTGGTTTGTGTTTGCCAATGAATAACGGTCTCCGTCACTGCAGAAGTGTAAGGTGTGTTGTGGTCTGTGATCTGGAGACCAATCTGGTTGGTCCCATGCGGCCACAACTTCGCCTATGCTCAGTGACACAGCACCGTTAGAACTGCCTCTTGCTTGGGAACGCTCGTGTTATACGATCAAGTATCACCCATGAGCACTCAGTAAGCACAAAACGTCGATGTGGTCGTTACCGCCGACGTGGCAAAGGCCAGTCAAATTTGGTAGGGTGGGGTCGCGCTATACCAAAATGAGTCTGTTCTGATGTTGGTATCGACAAAGGGGGAGGTTGCCAATGGTTAACAAATGTAGACATCTTTTGTTCAGCAGGGTCGGGTGGCCTTATGTAACCTCGCATAGCCTTATGTAGCTACCTCTAATTAGCGGTTCTATACCCTATTCCCATAGCATACCGACGTCCACTAGCAGATATCACCTAAAGAGGCAAAGATGCATCATAAAATATAAACCCATTCCGACAAATTTTCCATACTCTTCTGCGATAAAATATTGCACCAACGGGAGTCAGTCTTACCCCCTTCTGGTTCATGGCGCGTTTAACCTATCTACTGGAGATTCGATCAGCCATTTTCGCGGACTATCTTGAAAACTTGGAACAAGACAAAAGGAGTGCACGTAAGTTGAACTTACAGATTAATTTCCGCTTGCCCTCAATTTTACATTGGTTAACAATGGAATATGAGAGTCGATGATTATAGCACCGCCAATGGTTTTGTTTCATTCGTTACGCGTACTGAGACTAGTGCTGGGCATCCGACAGAGGGATTTTACCAGCCAACATCTTTATTTTACGCAATTTAGTGTTCTTCGGCCATTTTGAAAAGGAACACAAAGTGCTTATCTATTCGTCGTAACGGCTGTCGGCCGTGGCCGATTTCAAAGGCTTACATAGTTTCTGTTATTGTCAAAAGGTTTTAAGTAAGCAGCACATGTTTATTTAGGTGAGGCTGATTTGTATTACGATCGTCGGCTTACACAAGATCTCGTAGAGAGTTTGAGTACCAACATTAATCTGGTCGAATCTACTGAGGGTAGAATTAGTCAGTTTATGCAGTAGATCTAAGTCGAAAAGGCACTTGCTTCCCCGGATTTGGTATCAGGGAATGGACAAAGCTGCGCTAGTTCGACGTGCCTGAGGCCGGAAAATTAACGAAACACTGCACTGTTGTCTAGGCTCTTGGGAACATCAGCCATCCGGAATTCAAATACTAAACGAGATGCTTAGTTCCATCAGCACTGGTCACTGGCGCCAAATTTCGCCATGCGCTAAATTCTGTTCAGAAACGCTAGTCTGCCAAAACATACTAATACGCATCCTGGTTTTCACGAGAGATTCAACTGAATCTCTCATTTAT